TTCACTTTCAATGTAAGGTTCGTCTGATGCCAGCAAGTTTGGTATTTTCTTTGCCTCTTTAGGAAAGGTCACCTCTATCACTTCGACCTCTTTTCTTGGCACTCTTAAAGTTGTATTTTGAGGAATGATGTTTTCCATCACTTCCATTCCTTGAGGAATAGTTGTGGAGCTATCCCCACTTTCAGAGATTGGTTGTGGTATATTGTTTCCATTCTCGACAAATCTTGATTCTGTCTGGTTGACAGCACTTTCCTCGACTTCGGCATGATTCGTATTTAAAAAATTAGGAGGAGGAGGAAATTCTACACTCTTGACAGTTTTCTGTGATGGTCTTAAAGACATCCATTCTAGACTCAAGCTATCAGGAGTGTGGGTCGCCAGAATACCGATTTCCTTCCTGAGAAGAGTTAGCTCGATCATAGTTTGATCATCAATAGGTTCTAGTAGTAAAGAGTCATAAAATTCAGAGAACTCCAGAAATTTTGAGAGAATATCTTCAAACATGAGTTTCCGATTTTCTTTATCAAGTTCTTTAAAAGCACAATCCCCTTTTCTTACTGCTCTAACTATAAGATATAGTTTTGAGGTTAGAGAGGTTAGAGGGGAAAAAAGAGGAGTCATTCTAGTTGAAGCTCGACTTGACTGAGATCTCGAGACAGATCTTTGGATTGGAGTTGTTGGAAGAATATTATTTGAAACGGATAAAGGTTTTCTGGCAGGATTTCTGCCGCGTTCTCCCTTTTCTTTGATGGAAGGGCGGCCTCGACCTCTAGGCATAGTTCTTTTTTAAAGTTTTCTCTTTACTCGATGGTTTTCAGTAAGAAGTCAGATCAGAAAATGATTAGAACAAGTTTTTTCGAATCAAGTAAGTTAAAAAATATGCAGAAACCTCTTTTTAGACAACCTCTTTGCTATAGATACACAAACCCGAGTGTTTTCAAACTCACACTAATTTTAAATGATATTCGCAGAAAACACCAAAGAATTAGATTCACACGAAATTCAAATACACTTAGATACACCGGAGAGTTTGAAAATTTCAAAATAAATTTATATACACCGAAGAATTTGATCCACACGAAGTTAGAAATGTCAATTCACCCGGAATTCAAACTAGAATACACTCAATTACACAAAAAAAAAATTTTTGATACACACGGAATTTGAATATAATACACTTGATTACACCAGAAAATTTGACACACACGAAGATTGAATATAATACACTTGATTACACCAGAAAATTTGACACACACGAAGATTGAATATAATACACTTGATTACACCAGAAAATTTGATACACACGAAGATTGAATATAATACACTTGATTACACCAGATAGATCGTGGGAACTCGAGGTCATCCCTCGTCCCACGAGATTCCTTCAGGATTATCGGTCTTTTGCCGATTCCTAGCAAATCTCGTGTTTCTAAACACCCCTCATCTAAATTTTCGACATGATGAAGGACCGAAAACCAGTCAGAGTTTATCTAGTATTGCTGTTTGTGTGCCTCGGATTCATTTTGTGGATGGGGACTCACCAGTTATGCTCATTGAATTCCTGGAATTGGTTCGAATTCTGGGTGGATAAAAGGTCTTCTTGTATGCTTTGGACCCACCTTCTGGGAACCCCTACTTTGAGAGAGTTTATGAGTGAGTGAAGAATTTCCATACTTTTCCCTGAAATAATTACAGCAGGGGTTGATGAATCAAATCATTCCACAGCTCCTTCCTTGAATGAATAATCATAATACATTACAGGTGGACTCTGTCCACATTAATCTTGCCTTCAACAATTTTCTCTGAATATTTTTTGGGCTCCAGCATATACAGGGTGCTCTTCGCATATTAAAAGGTTCTGTGCAACAAATTTCTCTAATCTACGATTGATTTCTTCTTGTCCCTTGGATTTTGTTGTGGCGCGAGTCCAGCATGTAGACTATGTGAAACAGGTTATTCTGTGATGAGCAAATATTTCTAATGTTATTCATAAAGGTTTATTTCTCAACATTTTTTGGAAGCATTTCATAAAAATCATCTTGCTGCATGGAAAATGGCTGCACGTAATTATGGCAACTTCCCAAAAATTCCACTTAATTTTGAAGCCTATATTTAAGGCCTTCAAATTTCCATTTTGGCAAAGCTTGCTTTGGTGAGAATTCACTGAGAAATTCCCTTAATCCTCAGGTGGCAAAGTCTGATTTTTTTAAAGATTCCCTGACTCTCTATAGACCATAGGATGATTTTAAACATATGCATGACTAAATAGTTGGAGGGCAAAGTCAGGAAAAAATCATTGCATTGCAGGGGAAAGTTTTGCTCAGGAGAAAATAAATAAATCTTCAACGCTGAGATATTCCCCCTTTGGCTTCTGTGCTTCCCCCATTCACATGTGTTCAAGGTTTTGGAGGCTTTCATTTTAAACTTGTAGTATACAAGCATCCCGTTCAGAGTTCACTACAAAAACCCAATTTTGGAAAATGAAAGAAGGTACCCTCTTATCCCTGGATAAAATTCAGTTTTGCCCTGGTTCTTTAACCTTCAGAAAATGTTGAAAATTGCTGAGCAAGAATAAATGCTAACTACGCCTTTCAATGGAACAGCACCCTTTGCTGCAAAAGGGTCAAAGGTTTTCCCTTTTCTCTGAACCTTCATTTTGACTTTTTAACAGTCTCCACACAATCTCCATTGTGAGAGATTGCTCTCTCTCTCTCTCTCTCTTCTTCCTTTCTTGTTTCATATTTTATATCTTTTTTGAGATTTGGATTAGTGCATCAATATGTTTTTATTTACTTGGGTAGTGTTCTTATGATTTCTTGCTATTTATGTAATTCTTTCCAATAAATTACACAATAAATAGCCATGAAAAAACTAGGGACATACTGCATATCCAAAGTGTTGTTCTTTCCATCCATTCTTTTCTTGGGTACCATTGATGCTCAACAAAGCTTGCAAAGCCTCTTTAGACAAAGGAAGTTGCCAGGTCTCAAATCAACTCTTGAACCATCAGCTATATGACAGCATCATCTTCAAATTTCTTAGGTAACAGCTGATTCTACTAGAATAATTTTTGATCATTTTATGGATGAAATTCAAATGCATCTGGACTGGAAAAAAAGCACTCCAGAATTATGCTTCACCAGCAGTCCTGACTTTTGACTAAGACTTCGAAGGCTTGCACTCAAACTTCTATAACTCAGATTTTCTGGAGGAATTAATGCGTTTACTTTTTGTAGTTACCCAGCAGAAAAGAGAAAAAAAACATACAAATATATAACCTGGTGCTTTTTCTGAGGAAATGAAAGAATAATTGGACAAATGAACCCTTCCCTTCATGTTCAACATCTGCTGGTCAACTATATCAAATTGTTATTCGCAAGGCTTTTTTTGACAAAAATACAGTACAGTTTAACTGTTTGTATCTTACTTAAATTTATTTTTGCTTTAAGACAAAAATGTTGGTTCTCCCCAACTGGAAACATCTCTGATCCAGTTGATCCCGGGAATTTGACTTGACCAGCAGGTTCAACTATGCAATATTTATCATCATATTTTACCATGTTACTCAGGAGTTTTATTGAAATATCATGTCACATTCATTGTTTTCGTTCATTTCGACAGGTGGTATTACCAGAACCAGGGTTTCCTACGTGTGTCGAGGATATCAGTTCCTGGGGATGGTCCAAACACTCCCATTCGTCGCAACGTGTTCCTGTCCGCCGACGAAGATTTCCGAAGATCTTTGGAACTTATTGCAGCCAATGATTGTCTCTACAAAAACCTATATACCAGTGACTTTATTACCATCATCAACTTGGATGAGATCATCATCCCTGCGAAATCCCATTCATGGCAAGCTTTGGTGAAAAATGTGACGAGGGGCGAATCATATTCTTCAATCACATTCCGCGAAGCAATTTTCCCTATGAATGATGAGTCGCAGCAATTGACACCTGGAATTCTGAAATATCTTCCGAAACTGAATACCCTGAATCGACTTGAATTCAGAGAGGACACGCATCATGCAAAAAGCTTTTTGAAAACTTCGCAAGTGCTCAAATTCGATGGAATTACTCCGCCCAAATGCTTGAATGCAAATAAGTGCTCAACACTTTTATAGTGCCCCCCGAAATTGCATCTTTTCATCATTACAAACGTCTCACTGAAAGAGAATTGGCAAAACAGAAAAAGAAGAAAATATTCAAAGATTTATCTTTGCGGCGATTCCAAGATCTACTTCTCTCACAGATCGAGCGAGTTCTGCAAAATGTGGGGAATTTTTGATTGAGGCATCAGCGTAAATAATGCAGAAAATTTTTACGAAATTTTGAAAATTACGCCGGGAGAAGGAAAAAAACTTTTAATGTTGGCAAAAATCCAGTCTTCTTTTACGATAGCCCAAAGATTATCCTTTCTTCAATTTGATGAGATTTCAATAACTTTTTGTGAATTTGAAACGTTTTCAGGACGTCAGATAAAAAATATTACATAATATACAGTATTTCAAATTATTCCTGTGTGTGGATTCCTTTGGAAAGTGTACAACTCACTGTATATATGAAATAAATATTTCCCTCTTGGCACCGACTGGAAATCCTTAGTTCATTAGGATAGAGTACTATAATGAAAAGCATTACTATACGTATATCCTGGAAATTGAAAAGAATGTTGGAATACGTTTATATATATTTTTGTGGGATATATTATCTGACATTTTTCGCGCAAAATGTGCAATTCTCGAGAATTTATCTTTCATTCATTTTTTTCTAATCGCACTTTTTGATTCCGAATATTACCGAGCTGTATTCAATATTATAAATATATTGGTGTTATTCTTTCAGACGTTGATTTTGGTTAAATGATCAACGCCAACGTAATTGAACATGAACAAGTGGGTATATTGAAAGTATTGTTTTTAACGATCTTTCGAATTCCAAAAGTTTCAAACATTCCAAATCTTGAAAGCATTTTTCTTTTCTTTTCAGTACCTTCGAATGATTCTCCTGGATGTTTTTTTCATATCTTCTTTCAGGTTGAGTTGCCATGTCCTCTTGTCAATTAATATTTTTATACACCACATATATAAAATTTGAATATATTTATCCTTTCGTCACCATTCTCTGCTGATGACTTGAATTAGCCGATAAAAATCCAGTCCGAAATTGCTTGAGAATTAAAAACAAAATTAATTATCTAAAAATCACTCGGTGTTTTTCACGAAGCGTCTGATCCATGGATGAAACGCAGCACTGTCCTTGTGGGTATTTTTCAGTCCACCTGTTAAAAATACAGTTGAACCTCAATAAGTCAGACCTTCTTAACATACTGAAATACATCCCTAAGTAGATTTTTTAAAAGTCATTGTCTAAATTCCCTTAGAAACAATGCATTAAGAACCTCTATAACTCAAAGTCTTTTTTTCTCAAACCTCATCGGTAAGTCCAATTTTCTGAAGCTTTTTGAGTATAATTTTTTTGCAGATGAAAGAGAGAAGCAATAAGGCAGGAGATTTCATACATCTTGAAGGGAAATGAAACACTATAATTGAGTAAACGAAGCCCTGTCTCCAAGTTCAGAATATTGTAAAGTCATGTAAGAAGCAAGTTAAGGACCATAATATCCCCATTTACAATTTTTCTGGGATCATTTCATTTTTTCCTTGCAACAAAAACCCTTGTTTCTCTAGCTTGAAACATCTCAAAAGTTTAATTTACATTCAGTAATTTGAGACTTCCATAACGTGATTTTTTTTTGCTGGCCTCTTCAAATTTGAACAATAAGAGATGAGCTTTGACTTTTGACAAAAATATTCCAGAAGGATTTTCTTTTAACGACTTATTGTTGGTGTTTCACCTGTGAATATGCTGATGAAAACCGTGGCCAAAACTCCAGACCACAGACCAAAGTGTACATTCAGCAAATATGACACGTGGTAAATATCCTTGGTATGTACATCACTGAAAACAGATTACAAAATGGATATCACAATTAAGGTTTTCAGGAAGTTATTCATCGCAGCAAGTTATCGGGTACTTTACAAAACCTGTAAGCAAAAAACTTGGGTACTTTCCTGTTATCTCAGTACCTACTTTCCGTGCACCTACCAGAAACTGTGAATTTCATTTTTCCGCATTCTGCTGCAACTGCTTTTGGGAGGTGGTTAGGTAAAGTTGGGTTAGGTCATGTTATGTTAGGTACAAATATCTTTCAATCAACATAACCTGACCTAACCTAACCTAACGAATACTGAATTCATGAGACAAAGAAAAATGGGTACTGAGATAACAGGAAAGCACCAAAACTTCACCATCACAAAATGGCAAAAAAAAAACCTTGAAAATTCGTAAGCATCCGGAATAACTTGGACACTTTTGGAATATTGAGTGAAAGTCTGAAATTGTTCCAAGACATTAAAAATGGCATTTTAATTGCTCACCTCAATTCGTTCGTGGAGTTATTTTGATTGAACAATCGATTGTCGTAGTAATGCGTTTGACTCATGAAATCAGTCGAATTATTGCAATCCTCAATGCTGGACGGGATTCTAATTGGGGCCGGCAAATCGTGCAAAAATTTGCCCAAGCCTATCCAGCAAGCAACTGCAAAACTTACCAGAGCCCCTCCAAGAACTCCCTGCAGAAGAAAGGATTCATGCTTATTATTCTCCCTCATGAAACGATTCTTCATACTGTAATTTTCAAGACACGGATGCATTTACTCACTGGCTTATTCACAAAAGGGAGGAAAATTGACGTTAGGAACATGGCCATTAAAGGTGCAGCAAAAGTCGTTGTCAAAGTAACATTCACTTGATTGATGCTGCCCAGATTGCTGCTCATGAAAGCCAGTCCAACTGCAACCAGGCCGAATATGAAACCTGTGAACAAATTTCTTCAATTGAGGTAATTTTAATTTAGAATAGAGTATTTGGTATTTAAACTTGTTTTGTTGCTCCAACGCAGGGGTCTGAAAGCCTGCCATTCATTTTTGAATACAGGTGAACCTCCATAAGTTGAACCTCCCTTAGTCAAATTCCTCCCTAAGTTAAAATATTTTAAAGTCCCTGTCTGGATTCCCTTAGAATCAATACATTTAAAACCTCCCTAACTCAAAGTCTCTTTCTCTAAAATCTCTGTAAGTCTAATTTTCTGAGACATACTGGCTATTCTTTCCTTGAAATATGAGAGAGAAAATTATTGAAACAAATAATTTGATGCATTTTGAAAGGAAGTGAAAGACAAATATGGCAAATGAACCCCAGTCTCCAAGTCCAGCAAGGTTTAAACTCATTAAGGAGCAAGTTTAGCCCCAAAATATTATCATTTATGATTTCCCACACTTTTTTTACTTTTCCTCACAACAAGTGTCATTTCTTCAACTCAAGAGCCCCAAAAATCAAAACCTCAATAAGTTGAAACATTTACAAGTCCAATTTTTTTCCTGGTCCCTAGAAGTCTGACTTACACAGTTTCAACTGTATTGAATGAATGAATGAACAGAAAACTTTATTTGCCGCTTTCCAGCGTTCACAAGGTACAACCAAAACTCCTGCATCCAAACTGTATTTATTTTCAAAATTTCCTGAATGAACTTCTGTGCTAATAGGTCAAGAATTTAGCAACTTTTTTGACTGATCAAATCCTCCAAATTGGAATGCTTTGACAAAGAAAAACCAATTCAAATTTAATGACATGAAGACAGTATTGGAAACTCACCAAGAAATCTGATCAAAGTGACTTTATTCGATGCACTCAATGAGGTTGCCCATTTAGTAGATTTCAATCCATCCTCCCAAGCCACTGAAGCCAGGGCATTCAATCCAGAAGACATTGTACTGAAACGCAAAATTAAATTAGTACAGCATTCAGAAATTGACAGGATAGACCAGAGAAATAAAATTAGACCAATTACTGGACAACTTTTTATAGGCATTTTCGAAGTCACCATGACGCTGATCATTTCATGGCTCCGTAATTTTGTAAATTTCAGCAAAATACTGTATAGTATTTGAATAACAAATTTTCGTTTTATGTCAAGATTGAGGATAGTTCCAAAAGTGTTCCAGCTTGACCAGCTGTTGAGCTCATCCTGATTTGTTATGAAATTTTATGTCATGGATATAACGCATATTTTAAAACATATTTGCCCAGTAGCGCACTTGTGACTGCAATATTGACAAGTCATATTCATATGGCTTACATAATTTAGAAGATACCACGCATAGTACTTTTATTTTTAAAAATTTTGGAAAATTCGCAGCCTCTTATTGTACAACATTTTCGCTAATCCCTACTTATTATTGTTCTAAGGTTGTGATAAACGCGTCTTTAATTTTGATCCATTTTAGAAGACCAATAATAAATTTTGCTCTTACATTTTTCGAACGCACCTGAACAATTTAGGTGCGTTCCTTCCCATACAGGAACGCAAGGATATAAAAATAATATCGAAGTTTCAGAATAAATAGAAACAAAAAATCGGAAAAATAATCAAAAGGTTCCTTCTCTTCAGTAGGTTCATTAACCAGCTGTAACCCAAGTCATCAACCAGTACGTTGGATGTAGAAGACAGATTCGCATTCCTTTTTACATTGATGCTGTAAATTGAAATGAATTCATAGACAAAATTAACCTGAGTCCTCCTCCGAAGAGACTGGCTATAAAAAGCCCAGCCATGCCCGCGATTTGCCCCATTTTATCTTGCATGAAGAAAGGCAGAATTTCGTCGATTTGGTCAATTTCTCCGGTCAAAATCGGATCGCAGGTCGCATAATTGGCAAATAGGACGAACCCCATGAGATTCCCGATCCCGACGATCACGAAAATTCCAGGTATGTTTAGCAAAATTGCTCTGGAAAATGTAAACGGCGGTAAAAAAAAAAAAAATCTCTTATTCGGCATTTGACGAATGAAGTGATGATGAAATTTTTATTCACAGTTTGGCTTTTCTCAAGGTACGCATGCTGTTGTACCGCTGGAAAGAAGCTTGCGTCGCTCCGAAAATAAATAACCACATGAGACCGATGTTCGTTACGAGCAGCCAAAAATTGTGTCTCTGATACGGGTCCGGATTGAAGCTGAAAAATCAAATCGAAATGTGTGACTTTCAGAAAAGAAAATCAGAAGGTTTTCTTGCCGTATATAGGAGGAGGGGCAAGTCACATTTTCCACTCATCCGCTGAAAACACCCGAATGATTTGATCGATCAAATTAAATTCCAATGTTGGGGGGGGGGGGAATTTCCTGGGAAAATATTCCATCGAAACTTTTCGAGATATTGTTTCGCGGAAACTTTCGTAAAGTTACTATACATCCGTTTAAAAAACATATTTTCTTGTCTGTTTTTGGTGTGAATCCTGTCATGAACAAAAAATATATAGCAGCCAAAATGGTGCCTTTGATAATAAGGGACCCGGACTAAAGCTGAAAAATACTTTTTGTGTGACTCCTACAAAAAAGTCAAAAAGTTGTCTGTCAATTAAGAGAGGAATAAATCAAATTCTCAACTCGATCCACTACAAGCATCACAAATTTTTATTTTATCAAGTTACATCTTAATGGAGGGAAGTTTTCCTCTTGGTAAACTGCGAATTTCAACGGAAAACATTTCATTGAATCTTTTCAAAATGCTGGTTCATAAGTGAGAATGATACTGTACTTATGTTTCAAAAGTGTATTTTCTTTTCAGCTTTTTTGCGGATCTTACATTGTGCAGAATATTTTAGCTGCAAAAATGTGCGCTACTGTTAAGTGTTCCGATTAAAGCTCAAACCCATTTGAAAACATGCTGTGAGACTTCTAAGAAAGTATAGCAATTTCCTTCAGGGAAAAAGCGGCAAATGGAATTTACCACTCCACACCAAGAATCTTAATAACTTCATCGATGAAATCGGATATTAAGGGGGGGAGTTTTTCTTTGTGGAAAACTGCTAATTTTCCTGGTACGACAGTATTTAATTGAAATTTTTCGAAATGTTGGTCCTGGCAACGTTTCAGATAGGGTACTGTACTTCCGTTTCACGAATGAACTTTTTTCAGCTTTTTAAAATCTTGTCATGAAAAATGAATAGGCAATGAATAATCAACAACCGATGAGGTTTCAACAGCTCAATCACTCACTTGAAGACTTTCAATCTGTCGAATTTCGAGCACACCTCAAAAACCTCAACGATTCCTCCAGCTTTCACAATGCCATAGGTGCATATGCTCAACAGCGAAACAAACATGATTGTGATTTGGAACACGTCTGTCCACACTACTCCTCTCAACCCTCCCTGGAGAGAAATAAAAAATTCACTCATGCCACATGCAAGACAATTTGATCAAGTAATTCTTATATTACAATAATTTTTGGAGCTTTACCAGGCTTTCTGGAGGGTTTGGAATTTTGCCACCAAAGTTTTTGAGGATTGGTTATAGTTCCGGGTCGGCCAAGATTTACTTTCCCACCGGAAATAAGTGACTTTTTTAAACCACATATGTTATTGGCATGCTTTTTTGTCCTTGAGGGATGAATAAATGACACCTTTGTGACTGCGTTATTTAGATATGCCTTTTCGTGCATTTTAAAATGCCTGAAGTATTTTTAGAATTTGGATGCGCAGGAATCAACCACATTTAGGATGGATGGTTCCCCAGAGAGATTCTGCATAAATTCCACGACCTATTGTGGGATTTCATGTACGTGATGAAGTGGCTATTTCAGATTTCAGACTGCTTTAAAAAACATTCCAGATGCAAGATACATCTGAGTGCTGAGCTGAGGCAATTACCCACCAAGGGAATTTAATTTTAAAAGTGCAAAACTACATGACTGCAGAAATAATAAGGGAAGCTGGAGCATCCTCACTCCTTGTATGTTAAACAAGGACTTCATTTTTGTCTCTGATCACAGATTTCATAATTACAAAAATCACAAAACAATCAACAAATACAATCTTGCATTTTGTTGCAAAAAACTTGCTTTCAAAACAAAAGAAAATCAGCAAAGAAAAGATGCTTTGCATATAGCGCAATTCCCAATGCGTAAACTGCCAAAGCAAATACCTCTGTCAATTTCACACTTACAAAATCCAGCAACATCTAAAATTCAAGCTAAAGATGTTCTTCTACTTTTCTTTCATCATACAGTATATAAATTGATTTGATTCACAGATCTTGAGATATTCTCACTTTTTTAAATCAAACTTTTCTTTGGTGATAAGAATCAAGAGAACCTTCATGCCAGATTCTTATCTCACTGATGCACAAGCTTTCTGTGCAAACAGTGACCTTAATAGCCTTCTTTCTGAATGTCCATGAATGAATTTATTTCTGCAACATAAAAGCAAGAAAGCAGGGAATATCTTTAGTATAAGATAGCAAAACAAATTTGAACACAACAATGAACCTGGGACAAACAGTGACTTTAAAAGCATTTTTCTAAATGTACACTTTCTGAAATCTTAAAGGATCAAGATACATTTTTGGCCTTATATGATTTCTCATCAAAAATTCTCTCTAAATTGTTCATTGAAATAAAACTCATACAGAAACAGGCTGAAGACCTTTTGCTTTAAATAAACGTTTACTGCTGCTTTGTTTTCAATATTGGGGATGGGTGGGTGTATGCAGCATACCTGTAGGATTTCCAGTTTTATTTTGTGGAGTGTGTTCTCTTTTGTTTTTGCCATTGGTTGGTGCTTTATTTCATGGATTGAATGTCTTTGGGGGGAGTTGGGTTGGGTGAGGAGGGGGTTTGGATGTGGGAGTCTTGGTTGTGCCTTGTGAATGCTGAAAAGCGGAAAATAAAGTTTTCTGTTCATTCTGTTCATTCATTCATTCTAAATGTACAATTTTACATGAATAAATTCATTTCTGCAGCAAAAGGCTCAAAATAGAAGCAAGAATAGGAGTGAATCTCTTTAGTATAAGATAGCAAAACAAATTGGAATACAACAATTAACCTGGTACAAGGTCAAGCATCCCTGAATGATTTCTGATCAGAGAGCAACATGTACTATTATTTCATCAAGGTGAGTTTTGCACACGAAGTACCTAATGAAGCAATAAATCCTTTGAACAGGCACAGTTTGATGCTAAATCCACCTGAAGGTTACTCCTGATGATCTAAGACTGAACTGACACACTATGTAAGTGCTCACTATTTATTAGATTGTTTTGATGGCCTTGGACAATAGTACAGTACTGGACAATTATCACAAGTTATTGAAAGGCCTCTGATTGGCATAGATATGGAAGTCAAAGATAAGTTGCTGTACCTGGTAGTCCTATTTTGAGGAGGATAGAAGCTCTCCCAGTTTTCCCAGAGGAATTCTAATGTATTACAATTCAGTTCAATTGGCTTTGATGATGCAAAATAGGCATGGAGTGGTTGCACAAAATGCCCTATATTTGTTAGAATTTTTACCAAAATATTGACCAAGACCTATCAATTTCTTCTTCATAAAGTAATCGACGATTGTCCCCTCTTTCTTCAAAAGTGGATCTTTTTTTAATGTTCAATAATCGGAAAGTCGTCCAAACTATTTATATTTTTGGCAAGAACTGGGAAATAATTTCTCTTAAATAAATTTCTTCTGACAATGTTTTTTTTCGTGAATCTGGGGAACCTCTTTTGAATAACTTTGGATACAAAGCACACAATTTTTTGTGAGCTGGGCACATAAGCAGCAAAAAATTATCCTGGTGGAACTGCAACAATAACGAAGCATTACTGAAAAATACAAAGCGTTGACACAATCAAAACTCACCAAAGAGGAGTAAATTGTACAAATTCCTCCAGCAATTAAGATGGCGGCCCACTGGGGGAACCCTGTCATGGAAGACAGGGCCACTACTGGAGCAAATAATGCCACTCCCATGTACAAAGACATGTACAACAGATAGATGCAAGCAGCAACTGACCTCACTTCCTTTCCCGGGTACCTTACGTCAAAGTACTTCAAAAATTGCAAATACACCTTCAATTACAGCATCACTGTATACATGTCCGCACTAAATAAAAACTAATTATTATTATCTACAAGAACATATTCAGAATATTGCGTAACATTTCCCCCAGCTGACGGTATAAAGAAAATTAACGAAAGATTTGGACCAGCATGTTATGTAGGACTTGATCACTTGAGTATAGCAGAATATTTGTTCTTATACCGTCATTTTTTTATTTATTGGGCTATAATATAGCAATTCTTCGGTTACCTGAAAAGAACTGCTGAGATTCAAAGGATACATGACTGGAACGTAAATGTAACATGCGCCAATAATTGCAAGTCCGACGCCGAAGAAAGCCACGAGCCATTCGCCACCATATGCGTAAATTTCGGCAGGATTTCCTAAGAATGCGAATTCATTACGTACGAAAAAATGCAGAGATTATTCATTCAAATTTTAGCAGTGATTAGTACCAATGATCATGATTGCGGATTGGTACGAAGCCACCAAGGAGAGCACCACAGGAATCAGAGCCAAATCTGCAAACATCACCAAAATAACTTTAGTGCAGATTTTGAATTGTTCTATTTAAATTGTATCAAGGACGTATAACTGCTAGCATTATTCTGGCTGTGTTTATGCAAGGGAACTCTCTGCACAACCAATCTGAAGGTACCAGAAAAAAGTAATGTTGTACAGAAATGTTTTTGCCGAGAAAAATTAAAACATGGATAGCAAAAGCTATGGGATCACACAAGATTTCTTGTGAAAAAGGAGCACGTTGTAGACCTAATTGTTGAGACTGATTGGTTTTGAATCATTTTTTTTTAATAAATAAAGAGTACAGCAATCAGCCGGGCTACGGCCAGGGTGCTTGACACCCTATGAAGTGTACGGTTGGTACATTTGACAAAAAGCAGGGATTTCACAGCAATTGATTGAAAATGAGAGTTTTGACATCGTTTGTGTGAGACTGTCAGGAAGATACTGATATGATACAGAAAAACATCCTGCATTCAAAAAACCTTCCCTTGTTAAATGTTGTCCCTGAGGACTGAATTATTCAAGGAAATCACAAAGATATCAGAAACACCGGTGTCCGGAATGGTTTCCTACTAGCTTATTTTCCATTGTGGTTAGTAGACAGATTAAGCTGGTCGGGCCATTCAAGAAGAAAGGGGATTTGGGCACCAGCCTCAGGAATGCGCGCCAGGCGCCATGGCACAAGACCCCTGAAATTGTGCATGAAGTTAAAAGGTATTTTAAAAAGGGGTACGATGACTTTCTTTCCAAGTCTCAGGTACATATAAGGAATAATAAATACGCCTAAATACAAAGTTCACCAATTCTTTGAATGCTGTCTACACCAGTACAACTTATGAGGAGTACAGTTTGGTTATTTATCCGCGAAACATGAGAACATATCTTCAGCACACGTTTGATTTGATTAGTGTAAAAAAATTGCCTTGACCTTGTCCCAGTTCCAACCTTTGATAAATATAATTTAAATGGAACTCCTGGTTGATGAAGAGGAAAATAGATAAATAAATAAATGGCATGGAATTGGAAGTGGATCATGAAAAAATTATTACAGTCACGGGCTGAAGGAAGTGTTATACAAACATGCTAACAGTATAAGAAAATATTAATGACAACAGAATATTACAGAAGTAAACGCAAGATCCCAAAAAACAGAGCTTGGTTACTGCTGTACCTGGCAATTGGAGAATGAACCGAACAAAACAGACCCCCTCCCAGCCTCCTGGGGAAGGTCCAGACGGTTTAATTCTTTTGGGTCGGACAATGTGGGATAAACTAGTAGGAAACCATTCCTAGGACCAGAAACACCTTGTGGGAACACAAGGTCAAACTTGGTCCCATGAAATTCCTGATCAAATAGGTTCCTTCCATAAGCTTAAATGAGTCACCTTCCTTCAAATATGTGTTCATAATTTCAAACATTATCCTATTTGCATTTCTCCAATTTCCAACACAGATCATTGTAGATCAAATCCACCTGCATATATACAGTATCTATGTATCATTCATGTGAAAGTCTTTCAAATATTTTTAAATTTTTTAACGTGCAGAAATCAGCATATTTTAGGATGAGAGACAAACCACATATAAGAGATATCCTGCATAATTCTCAAAACCCCATTGCAGTGAGAAAATGTCATTATTTTCTAATAACTCTCATGCACTAAGATGTTATCCAAAATGTGTCCTTTTTCCCCCTCCAAAATGTATTGAAAATACGTTCCCTTATCTATCAACAGGTGCTCCATTTGATAAAAAATTTATATAAAATTAAAAATGTGTCCAAAGCTTTTTCTGATTTTTGCAAGAATCTTGGAAAATTCTGTTCAATGCAAGTTCTCGACATAAACTCCATATTTTATATGAATGTGGGAATCTTTCTTTTGGATAACTTTGAATAAAAACAGGACAATTCCTTGCTCATTCAGCAGAGAAACACATGACATGAGATGCTAGTAAAATGGACAATTCTTCAGAAAAGTTGAATTTAAATGACTTGAAGCCAGATATAATGCATGCAATGAGAAATAGTTTCCTTTATTGTGCTAATTCAGCTCACGTATACAGAAGCGTTTGACGTTGATTTTTGAAAGCTACACTAAGCAAAATTTTTATTTATACTTCTGTATACCTTAAGATCAAATACTTCTTCGGGGACAATTATCGTCCAGTCTTGAATCTTGATACCTTTTGTTACAACGAGGTCCTCAGCTTCAGCGCCCGATGTTGAAGTAGCTTTATTTTCCACATCTGCCTCTTTTTGCCCAACCATCTTTGCTTTTATGAACCCCCAGATTCCAATACCCAAGGCTCCCAGCAAGGATCCCACAAAAATTACATAATCCACTGCCGTTAAACTGTGCTTCGAGATCATTTTTCAGCGTGAGGGGCACCTGTTGTATAAATAGTCACTGAAAATGAGATGAAGTTTTCGAAGCAATAACCGTCAAGGCGTGATGAAACTTGAATATTTTGCAGAATGCAAAAACATAAAAGCGATTGAAATTAATTGTTAATCCGAGAAGCGAACGAAATCCAATTATTGTAAAATGCACAGATGCACAGTACATGGAGAATTCAGAAGATGATTATGAGCTATTTCACTTGCGAAAGCGATCTATTATCATACGTAAACGAACGAGAGAAAGAAACACTCAAAACCCACGGAGAAGCCCTTAAAATGTTTGAAAAGCAAGCGTCTATGTCTCTTTTATCAGGTCTCAGATATTCTGGTGTTGTCACTCTCATTTCTTATCTCAGTTCCAAAAATTTTGATTTAATCTACCTTTGATGACCATACAACACCTGGGAAAGGAAACAAAAGATAACCATTGACAAGTATAGTCATCTAGTCTGAGTGTCCTTGTAATAATATTCATTGAATGCAGTTGGGTATATGTCATACTCTGTTAAGTTATTTTTTTAATGTATTTGTTGGACTGGAGAAACTAATGATGCATATTCTCTAAAGATATAAGTTATTTGCATACTTTTTTGTATCTCTGGGCGCAATGGCTGTAAGAATTGAATAAATTTGCATTTGAGGACAATCAGCTACAGCAGAACCTTGCAAAGGGATTATTGCTGCAGTCAGATGGAATAGCAGCAAAAAGGTCTTCTTGAATGAATAAATGAACATAAAACTTTATTTGCCACTTTTCAGCGTTCACAAGGTACAACCAAAACTCCTGCATCCAAACCAAGAAGACCGCATAAAAAGGTCTTCTCAAAATACAAAGGGAGTCAAGAGAAAAAGCAAAGAATCTGCATGAAGCAAAGTTGCTTCTCAACTACCTTGAGGACAAAAGCAAAACCACTTGCATTGATGACAGGTGATATCTTGAAATTTGATAACCCGCAATCCAAACATTCCACAATTTGACAGTCCAATCTGCTGGGACATTGACTTGCAATTCAACCTCTTGCCAAAATTTTAAATTTGATGTATAATTCATCAAATTTGATGCAAGACAATTCTACTGCTTTGAAATTTGACCCTTTCAGTGCAATGGATTAGACTGAATTAGACTGGATTAGACTGATTAGACACCAACTGTATAATATACCTCATTTTTGGTCCATCTCTCAAAGCTAAAGACAAGGCAAGGGTTTAAATAAGCTCAATCATCATGTATGCCAATCCTGTTCAAGCCTTAACACAACATCCTGCTACCTTGCTTTTTGTGTCACTATGGGAAGGAAGTATAACTTCACAACAACCAATCTTTTCATGACCATAAAAATTGCCTTTCATTGCTTTTAAAATGTTTGTTCACCTGGTCACCATTCCAGCAGCTACTTTATTTTGCTGCATATAGAATCAATATTTGTTTGAAACAAAGCTATTTTAAAGCCTCAACCCCTTTTTGTTATGTTTATCAAGATTCTACCCTTTCATCATTTTATGTATTTCAGAGAAAGCTAGTGCTTGTCAATAAGACAATCTCTTTCATGGGTGAGGCTTTATAAATATATATTCTGGTGCTGATACAGGCATCAAAAGAAGTGTTCAGAAAAATGGTACTGTATATATTACTGAATTTTCCAGATATTCCAAAAAGACTCCTGCACAGGGATTAAGGTAGAAATAGATGATTCACAAAAAGTAAAACATAAATGAATAAGAATACACTAATTGGCCTAATAGACATAGCTTTATTCATGAAAATCGGAACTTCAGTGAATGAATGAACAGAACACTTTATTTGCCGCTTTTCAGCATTCACAAGATACAATCAAGATTTCCACATCCAAACCCCCTCCCCACCCAACCCAAATCCCCTCAAAGACATTTAATCACTTCAAAGCAGGAATTAAAGCACAAATTGATGACAATTGATGACAAACTTCAGTGTGTCATCACTTGTCACTCATCAGATATAGTAGGATAAATCAGTTCAGATACATAATTATATACATACTTTTGAATGATAAAACTCCAGAAATAAAAATGACAGAAGTAGAGCCTCATTTTGGAAACCCTGGTGAACATATTTTCATTATATCCAATATCTTCATGAAATACAAGATGCAAGAACCTCGCATAATTCGAAGAAGTGAGTTTCTTTTTGTCCAGACAAACATTATTCGGACTCCCAAAAAATCCCCTGATGGTCCTTTTTCTGCTGATATTTTTCTCAAATGATGCAGCTGTGCCTGATCAATTCCTTACAAATGTAACGTGGAATATTTTTGAGCGAAGGGATTGTTCGACTTCAGGATGAAATGTGATCAGTCACGACTTTCACGAGCGCACAACAAGCCGAGGCGGAAATGAATATGGCGCAGCTTTCTGCATGACTCATGCTAAATTTTATGCTGGTACTGTAGTTGGAAAACAGGATTTTGCGAACTCATTCAAGGATGTCAGAGCTATGAAGTTCGGAGAAAGAAAAGGTGGATATATGCATAGGTTGAATGCGTGCTACAAAATTCCTGCTAAATTTTTGCGTAGAAGAAAAAAGACGGGCAGGTTTTTTTTTACTGCGCGCTGAATCATGTATTCGACTGCGCAACTTATTTTGAAAATTTTTGATGAAACCATGTAAAAAAAATTTTTCGATTTACTCTGAACGAAGATTAAAAAATTTGCATCTGGTGTTTCGTGAAGAATGGACGCGTACTCCGGCGTCGTTTCCATTATGGTCACATTTTGTGTGTCATTCGTTTGCTTATTATTTGCAATCCGTGCGTACACCAAAGCAGCCACGATAATATGTCCATCAAAAATGCGCCTGGATGGGAAGGTTATTGTTGTTACTGGCGCAAACACAGGCAAGTGACATTTTTTAAAGGAATAATGTCATTGTTATCTGCAGTATTTAGAACAGTTTCAGGGCATTCAAAAAACCTGCACAATAATCCACGGCCGCCCGAGTGATCGTAAAACAAGTCCAAGACTGAGTTTTGAAGTCTTGAAATGGCTATTCATCTTATTGAAATCAGGACTAGAGAAATAATCTACTGTACTCTGCAATCTGGCCAAAGACTCACAATTTGATGTTCTTTGCGTTTTCAATATCCTTACAATATCACAGCCGTACATGGCTGATATTGAGAAGTATCCACCATTTATTTGAATTGCTTGTTAAGTCTAAAAATATACAAAACTGATTCTATCATCTTTTTTATTTTGCAGGCGTGGGATTTGCAACTGCTACTGAATTGGCAAGGAGAGGAGCAAAAGTGATACTTGCCTGTCGCTCTTTGAGCAGAGGACTCGCAGCTCGAGGTTCCTTGAACTGGCTTTTTTATATATAATAAAATAGAATATCATGGATCAGTCAAACCTATCCAAGAGGAATTTCAAGGGTACAACAAAGACAAAATTCAGATAGGGAGCTTTTGAGTTTGGGGAGCATTTTTTGTTGTGGGGAAGCATAAAAGAATTGCAGGAAATTGTAAATGATGATATTTATGTGCCTAAGATTGCCTCTTAGATGATTTGACAGTACAGGGGGTACCCCTTGCAATTTGACCACCCGCGCTTTGACCATTCCATAATTTGACAGCTGGGAGGTTGGCTCCCAAGTTAACCTCTGCCACACAATTTGACTTGTGGAGAGACATGAAATGTCAAATTCCATGTAGAAAACATGACATTTGACATTGTCTCACAATTCAACCACTTTGAAAGTCAACCTTAGTCCAGCAATGGATTACAGTCAAATTACGTGGTGCCACCTATATATGCTGAATTTGGAGTCTGGGGTACATTTGCCTAATTAGTCTTTCACTTTCTTTCAATTTTGTGCTTCTCTCCTTCCTGTGTTAATGAAATGATAGCCAAAAGACCTCAGAAAATTCCAGTTACAGATTGTGTAAAATTGTAGGTTGAACCCCTTTCTCAAATGAATGGATGAGGCAAGGGGTAGAGCAGAGAGTTGAAACATGTCAATTGGTTGGTGTGCAACCAACCTTAGGGATTAACAATCCCAAGAAAGAAGCGCTAACTGTAATTCTCAATCACAGGCAAAACACTTAGAATGGAAATTCACTGCTTGAAAATGCTAAACAATAACAAATGGATAAAAAGCAATTTTGGTGCTAAATACTGTTGTCTGCCCAGTGTATCCTTCTTCAGGAGTTAGTCTGATGATTATTTTGAAACCTTAGGTTCCTTTTATGCCTGAACAAATGATTGGGAGGAAAAGGCAAGATTGTCCAGAAGACGGTTATTGGTGAGGTTAATGAGGTAACCTGTAAATCAGGTGTGTATGACTTGTGGGAAAGTTTTTCCCAAATTGTTAGGCAAAATCCGGTCCCTTTTTTTGTGCATTTCCCACAGAGGTGGAAATGTAATTTTCTTTAAAAAAACAAATGCTTGTGAGGGCAAGGAGAGAAGAGGGATCCACCTTTTCTCAGGATAAGGTTGTTAGAAACCCAATTTGGGTTCCCAGCCACCTGGGGTTTTTTGTTTTGCCCCTCTTTTGAGTAACATGAGAAGAGCAAATTTTCTCAAACCCCTCCTGCCAAAATAGAGTTTCAAAGTTGGGTTTTATGACCTGGTTTTGAGTTAGTTTATACCTTGTGCACCAGCAAATTTATTGCTGTTGCCATTTTTGGCAGTTGGGCAAGCTCTCATGCCCATTCAGAAGCGGTGTTTCCTGCGCATTTTGTTGAAAACGGTTGTTTTGGTTCTTCACACAGATGAAGTTTGAAGGGACAAAACCCCTTTCAAATTAGAGAATTTTCAATAAGACATTACTCCTAAGAAAATTCAGACAGGAATAGAGACAAAAAACGACTTGTGGATGAGGTGTGAGTTATCACACCTCAGTACTGCATTTACCACAATTTCAGGTAATATATGCACATTTTATTCAATTTTTGTTTACAGAAAGACTCATCACGCAAGTAGGAAAAGTATCCAAC